TGCCTGTTTAGATTACCTGTTGTAATCATTGAGCTCTATAAAACCTGGAGGGGCAAAGGGGCCTGGACCATTGAGTTCTATAATAACTGGAGCGGCTATCTTTACTGGGGCGAGGTCGCCAAAAAAATGGCGGCCAACGGACGTATTTCCGCTGAAATGATCGCTTTGCAGAAAAATAATATTCTCGACCTCCCCTGGTGTCTATAGTAAATTATAAAGAATTTTCAAAACAAACACGATATCACAGAATATGGATATCGTTAGTTCCATATTCTGTGACGATTCTTTTTGGCATTTCTTTTATGCCAACACTTCAATCGTTCAATTGTTGGATGTCGTAGTTTCCACAAAAGGAACATATCGCTTCCCACAGGTGAGGTAGTTGTTTGTTTTGTTAGTCCGTCAACGATTGAAAAGCAATTATACATGCACTTGAAAAGCCATAAAATACATATTAAAGATCGTATTTTAAGACTGACTTGAACGCCAAATATACTGATGTTTTCCTGTTTTTGTCTATAAATTTCTGCATACTTTTCTGTCATTTGTTAATGCATGAAATCGTAAATTTACTATCTATTTGCAAAATAGTTTCCCTAAAGCAAAAAGACCCTGCACACATTTTGCTCTGTGAAAAGTATCAAAAATGATCAGCCCCAACAGTACCCATGATTTGGAGCAGAGCTTGTTATGTTCTATTTGCTGACAACATGCAGGGAAGACCAAGGAGTAAAGATGACTGGAAGATGTTATTGACCAGGCAGAGTCTTAAAAAAATGATAATGCTGTAAAGATAATTGATTTATTGTCTGCCTTATCCAGAGTTATTTAATTTGATCATGGTCAAATTCTATGGATGGAGACAATGGATTCACTAATGATGCCTTGAATGCTTTGAAGTTAAAGTTCATGAACCAAAAAAAGATGGCAAGAAGGTTGTGTGTTTTGATGCTTAATTAAATGTCAATTCACAACATATAAAATGGAAGGCCATAAAGTTTGTGTCTATGTAAACATTTGTACTGAGATTGATGATGACTTGATGCAGATGTGAAGCATTAAACTGTATAAGCCATTGGGTTTTATATAACTTAATGTTTAAATCATGTCATATCTTTATCAAAATATTTTAGTTGAGTGTTGTTTAAATGTTACTAATATCTAATGCACTATACTGAAGCATTAAAGATTCAGTGATGAAACCTTTAAATTTACTGTACTGTATATTTCTTATATATTTCTTATATTTCTTTAAGAAACAGTTTGAGCTTATTTACCTATTAGAGTACAGAATGGAGATTTATCATATGCATCATTGCTGCTTTTTAAATAAATGTTTTTCACTTTTCAAAGCTTTTCTACAAATATTTTGCTTCTTATTTCTTTTCATGAGATTGATGATATAGAGGTAATATAATCCAATAACTTTATAATTTCTAGAAGCTTTTAAGCTTCTAGCATAAAAGTACACTATAGGTATTTAATTCATTTGGTTTTATTGCCTTGTTATGACATATCCATATGCATTTCATCATTCATGTATGAAAAACACCAAATGTGGATACTCAGAGAACAAAATGCACTACCAACTGCTTATGAAATTTATTATTGAGTGAAAACTGTGTTAATCATTCAAATTGTGCACTTATATTGAAAATATAGGAAAAACAAAACAAAGTGAAAAGAAGGGTAGAAGTATTAAAACTAAAAATGAATTATAAACACCATTGGAAGCATAAGTGTTTTGATGATTATTTGCATTTTGCCCAATTCATATATCAATACAACAAAATCAAAATGTGCTACAACTTTACAAGTATTTGATGCAGTTGCACTTCAGAACATCACAAAAGGTTACTTAAAGTAATTTCTATACAATATTGTTTGTTTTCATTTACCAAACCTATGCAGACTTGAGTCTTTTGAAATTTAATATGAAACTCAATTACAGAAAATACGTAAATATCCAGAGATTTTATTTACTTTTTAAAAGAAGTAAGTAAAAGAAGCAAAATATGATAAAAATAAGCTAACTTCTCTCTCGTGAACCACTGTGGAGATGAACTGATATACTTTTTTGTATAGACTAAAGAGTTTAATCGATCAAACAAGTTTGACGCTGGTAAGAAAACGACGCATATCTGCATTCATAGATGTGTAGCCGACATATAGCTCTTTCATCGATAGTTATAAATACATCCTCGTAGGAGCCGATAACTGGAAAGCTATGTTGACTCGCTGTTACGAATTGTAGGTTTTTATCGTGATTTTCATCAAAAAATTGCTTGCCGAATCCCAAATACACACATACATTTTTCTTCTCTTTTCCTCAGGAGGTGGGAAATTGTGAAATTTTCGGAAAAGCGGTCAATTTCGGTAAATCTCAGCGGCAACGGACGAAATCCGCCATTTTTTTGGCGTCACCAGATATCTAAGGCCGCGCTTGAGATAGCCGCTCCAGTTATTATAGAACTCAATGGCCTGGACCCCGTGGTCAAAAACATGGCGGTAATGGCGGATTTTGGTCATTGAGTTCTATAATAGCTAGGCAATAGCGCGGCTGCTATCTGGTGACATAAATGGCGGACTCGTCCGTTACCGCTGAATTTGAAATGACTTCGCTTTCATTCCACTCCCTCGAGAAAAGAATGAAAAGAAAAAATTATGTCAATTCGGCTTTAACTGATGAAAATCTGATAAACTTCTAGTCGCTTAACCAGCAGTCATATACTCTATTTCAGTATGCGTATTATAACTTATCGATGAAGAGCTATCGGCTGCACTTGTGCGGGCTGTCACGTCGTTTTCTTACCGGCATCGAGCAATGTTTGTTGTTCAAACTCACCGGTCTATACCAAAGTACTGTCATGATTCATCTCCACCGGTGATTCGCAGTGAGACCGGCCATTTTTAATTTGCTGACCTGCTTTCTTTGCTGTTTCTTAGTAGTATTAAATCTTTCTCAGTTCTTACGTATTTTCTGTATTGGTTCATATTAAGCTTCAAAAGATGCTACGTAGGTTTGAAATGAAGCAAACAATATTGTGGTGCTTTATTGTTTTGTGTTCAATGCGGCTTTGCATCGAAACACTGTGCTGTTGTTGTATTGATAACATGAGGCAAATACGTGTCATCGAAGGCGCCCTAACTTTCAATGTTGTTTACTAATTCGTTTTGGTTGCAGCTCTTCTGCCGAGTGTTTTTCTATATTTTCGGCAATAGTGCTGTTGAAGATGATTGGTTTTCACTTCATAATAAATTTCATGGCGGACAGTGCATTGTTCATACCGGTAATCACTTGTGTTTTCTTCATGCATGAATGTTAATGCGCTAATGATCGTAACAGGTCATAAAGTGAAACAGTTAAGTAACGCGGTTTGGCATACTGAAACTTTGCACTTTCTGAAGGATTGTTGAATTCATTGCTGCCTATCATCGATATAATGAAAGTAAAGAGCAGTATATTTGTGGAAAGCTTTTGAAAATTAACATTGTTGAAGCGGCAATGATGCTGTAATCCCATTCTGCATACTCTAATGGTAAAGTAAGCTCGAACTGTTTAAATGAGAATATGAAGTAGCGAAATACGGTACAGTAAAGGTTTCATCACTGAGATCAAATAACTTCGGTATAGTGCGTTAGTGCTAGTATTGAGTTTAACGCTTTCAACTATGTTATTTTGAGAATATATGCATGATTAACGTGCGTTGCTATAAAGCTTGATGACATTCGGTTGTGCTAGCATCTTGCATCAATCGTAATCTCGGTACTGGTACATGAACACCAAGCTTTATGACGCTTTCCGATAGTTGTTGACAATCAGCGTAAACACTGCCTTTATTTTTTGTTCATGAACTTCAGTAAGCTCAGGCATCGACCAGATAATCATCCGCCGGTGACCGTGATCAAGTAAACTTCTGGTCATCAGTAATATTTACAGCATTATCATTTTTGGGCTTAACAGATCATCTTCCCTCTTGCGATCTTCCGTAATTGTCGTATTCACAACATAACGGCTTTCTGTAAATCATGTTGATCATTTCTTCTTGATCCTTTCACCGAGCAAATAAAGAATCTTTGCTTTTGAAGCTTATTTGCAAATAGGCTAAGGTAAATTTATGATTTCATGGGTAAATGAC